TGATGGTCGAAAAATCTGTTTGGAACTAACCCTTTGGCCAATTGCAACCTTCAAAATTCGGGGATGATGGACCCGTGTTTTTACCTTTCTTCACTTAAATATAACAGTTACTTCCCTTGGCGCAGAGTGAAAATCTTAAAACGGGATATTTTTCTTGAATAATTGAGCCTATCTCTGAAAGGAGCGTGGATACCAAGCCTTGAGCACAAAAATGGGTGTCGGCGATGTGCCAGCTGAAATTTAATAGTACCCGTTTTTAAGTGAAATCTAACAAGTTGAGATCAGCTACGTAAAATCTCAATCATGACCATATTTTCCAACAGATAAAAAAAAAGTAATCTTAACTAGATTCACCGGGTACTTTTTTAAATAAATAAAAAAAACTAAAACTACAATTATGCACACAAATAATTTCACGAATTTATAATGATTGGTGGAGGATCATTATCAGTGACTTTTTGGACCATGGAAAGAAACAATATTGATCATATGTGCTTTCATCATTCAAATATAGTCTTTCCAAAAGCTTGGATAACTGGCTTTAAAAGCTAGCTAATGGATCCGCACTTAATTACGTGACCTTCTCGCATAGGAAGAGTCACCATTGTCAAGGGACAAAATAAACTGTTTGTAGTTACATTTTGGTCTACATTACCAATCATGGGGTCTTCTTAAGTCCATATCAAAGTTAAAAGAATCATTTCATTTTCCAACTTAAATTAAAGTTCCATTTCGCATTCCCATTTTAAAGTTTTATATTAACACGAGCAAGAAACAAGGAAACTTCACTCGTACTCCATGAAATATCTCACTTTATCCTATTTTATATGACATACTTTTATTTTTAATATAAAAAAAATTAACCTAAATGGTCGTCCACCCAACTACTAAAAGTAAAATTACTTGGTAGATGTATAATATATGCATAATATATAATATATGTATAATCATGCATAATCGGTGTATAGTTTATGTATATCGACTAGGAAAAGTAAATAATGAATGCCGGCTATCACCGTAATGATACCTTTAATCAATCCCCAAAAAAAAAACACATTTCTATTTGTATAACAACAATTTAACTTTTTAACTTTTCAGTAGTATACCTTTAGTGACATGATTTTACAGCTATATTATAAGAAATACCATGACATGTCTATTACAATGTGAAAAAATCTTTTTTTTTTTTTTTCTTAAATGTTGTGTCCAGTCAAAGTCTCGTATAAAATGACACAAAGAGAGCACTTTTGAACTTTTCGTTTTATTTTTTTCTTTTGGTGGTGGGGATGGGAGGAAGTAGCCACAGGAGTGAATGAAATGCCCATGCAAGAAGTGGTGCCTGCAAAAACAATTAATTGAAGTAAAGTATGTAAAGAGGACGTTTCACAATAATTGAAATAATTAAGTTAGTGCCTTAGAGGAGAAGGAAAATGACAAAGAAAGAAAGGGAATTAGGAGGAAAAAGAAAAAGAGATCCAAAGAGGAAGAAAGAGTTCCAATAAAGATGGATCAATAATGTAACATACTCCTAGTTGAAACTAATTATTTTCCTAGTTCCAAGTGGCCTAATATATCTAGTGTAGTTCCATAAAAAAAAAATTAAAGTTATCAAGAATATTCTAAGCCAACCTTTAACTAGACACAGATCACTATATTCACCTCATTTGAACGACACTCAGATAAAAGTAAGTCATTTAAAGAAAACAAATTAATTGAAAAAGAATGAAAAAACTTATATAGAAAATAAAAAGTATAGATTAAGATTACACTGTTCTATTGGAAGTCAATATTCAAAGCCTACTTGCAAATTAGCAATTCCTGTTCAAGATTCTATATTTCCTTTTCCAGACGGTCATAGTTTTCAGCATTCTCTGTTGAAAGACAAGTCATAATCTTAACTTTGACTGCAGTACGTGATAGGCAAAGACGTTGCATATTATTTCACCCATCAAATTTGGCCCGAGAGAATCAGTTCTAGAAAATACAGTAGTTCAATTAAAAATATTTTATTCGCACTCCGTATTTATACCAAATTAAATAATTTAATTTTTAGAAATTGTAAATTAATATAAAAATAAATACATGTCACTTAACCATGATTAACTTATATATGAATATAATAGTTCCATTGTACTATAATGGTTGCTATTTTCGTCCTACGCATTTGTAATACACACAATAATATGGTATATATAGGACTTAAAAAGCTCTTGAAAAGAGTTATAAAGTTGTTTGATAATCTTGTTATTCTTGCTTTAGAGTAGGATTAGCGCCTCATAAATAAACAGGAATTGTATTATTTCTTTTTGCTACTATATACAACAACAACAACAACCCAGTATAATCCTATTAGTGGGGTCTGGGGAGGATGGTGTGTACGCAGACTTTATCCCTACACTAAGATAGAGAGACTGTTTCCGATAGACCCTCGTCTCCTCCCGCCAAAAACTCCCCATCTTGCTCTTGGGGCGGTGAAAGGAAAACATTGCAATAGTGTTTTTTTTCCTCTGTAAAGAAGCACTAATATAGAATTTAAAAGGAGAAAAGCAATTCTGGAGTAAATAATAGGGGAGACAGGTAATCACCATGTTGGAATGTGACCTTCTTTTCGGTTAAGATAATAAAAAATTAAACATGGATTAGACTGAAAGAAGAATTTTAAAATACTAAATCAAAGACATCTCTGATTTTATGCTGTCTAAGTCCACCTTATTTTGCCTTTGCTTTTGTGTCCTTTAGTTACACGTTAGTTTTACACAAGTGGGATTATTAAAAAAGTTACACGTTAGCTCCCTAATCCAATAACATTAATCTAGTAATTATCCCCAATAAATTGCCATTTTCTTATCTTTTTTTGTAATCTTAGGAACAGAATGTCAGAGATAAAACTTTTAGTAACATTTGACATGTTACTATACCGAAAGATATTCGTTATTTTGTCTTCCTTTTTCTTCTTTTAGGTAAAGGTAACAAAGTTAGTTACACCTTTAATTTATTATGTTGCAACACCTCACCATCACTTTGCTTAAATCTCTAGTTGTTGTACAAGAAATCTTTAATCTTTTTACCTCATCATCTGATGTCTTTATGCTATTTTAATTTATTGGATATGCACACGATTCTGTGTTAGGTATATGGTGTAATTGATGAACTTGTTGGCCAATTACCTAGCATGTAGCAACTTTATTATTTAAAATAATATTATATCAAAAGCAAGTAAAATGAACACATAAAAATAACGTCTCAAATATTGTCACGTAAAGTTGATATCTACGTATAAGGACGGGTGCTAATCTACACCAAGCAAGTCAATAAAATAACATGTAAAAATAGTTAACGAAACATCAAGATTTCGTATTAAGCTTTATATTCTTATATAATTTTTTTTAGTAAAACTAATCGTTTGTATATGTATCAATCAAAGTTTAATAATAGTAGTTAGAATTCTTGGAAATCTATATGGAACTCCATGAGTAATGTATACACTTTATGATAACACGTTACACTTGGTTAGCAGATACGACCATCTACTTTATAAATCTATATAAACATAATTCTCAGCGTACAACTAAACAGAGGCAGATCCAAGATTTAATGTTTATGGGTTTCTGTAACGGTCTCGTGTAAATTTTCAATAATACGTAACTGGGTTCACATTCAAACATTTATAAATATTTAGTAAATTTTTCGAATGCATTTACATTGTTTGAAAAAAAATCTTCCGTATTCACATGAACTCGTAGGTCGAGAGGCGAATCCACCCTGCAACTAAATGTTTAAAGACAAACAGTGTTATGCCACAAACCCTAATAGTGTAATCTCCTTTGAAAAGACTTGGAGGATGCCAACAAGCCAAATGTCATTTCTCCTTTTCCACATTATAAAAATCACTAAAGATAAAAAGAAAACGGCATTAACCTGAATGAGTCATGGGGATGGCCCATTGAAACAGGTGTTGCCATCACTAAGGAGTATGGTGAGATAATTAGAATTTTTTCGCGGAATTCACTACTAGAAAAACATTAATTTGCGACCGAAATTTGCGACTGACATTGAAGTAGTCGCTAATATGACTACTTTTGCGACCGCAGTAGTGGGAAAAAGATTGCATTTTTATTACTTTTACAACAAAAAGAGAAGGAAATTTGACTAGTATTCTGACAAAGATAGTGGGAAAACAGCGCGCCAAATCTCCCGCCTTCACTTTTGTGACCAAGTCCGTCAGACCAGCTATTTTGCGACTACGACTTTTCGGTCGGAATATAGTCGAAAATTAGCATTTTGTGACCACTTTCTGACCGTTTTGGCTGTTGGAAAATAGCTATTTTCTAGTAGTAGAAATTTCGGGTTCGAATCTTGAGAACAAAAAATATTTTGTAGAATGTTCATTCTTCTTATAATAAGCCTTATCAGCGTAAAGTTATATTAACCCGTAAATTTCAAATACTCAATGAATAAACCGTAACAAATAAAAAAATATGCCATGGCTATGGGTGGTGCAGACTCTAGGTTGGTAGGTCAGTTAAGCACTTAAGGGTCCTTTGGTAAGATGTATCAGGGGAAGATAATACATGTATTAGCGACGTTAGTATTATTAATTCCTTGTTTGGTAGTATTTTTTAACTTATGTATAACTAATATATGTATTGGCTATTTGCCCTATTTGATATTATCCTATGTATAATTAATACATAGCAACCCATGACTTTAGTAATACTCTGGTTTTTAATACATAGATAAGCATGTATACATGCCTACGCAATGCATACTATTTTAAATACGCCTAACCAAACAGTGAATAAGAACTAATCTCTGCATAACTAAACATAGCATCATTAAACCCAACATTACTAATACACCTTATTCAATACTATTCTTAATCCTACCAAACGACCCATAATCGAATCAAGTTGTTTTGCATTCCCAAAACTCTGTATACTATACAGTAAACTCATTCTTAATCATGAGTATATATATATATATAACTATGTGAGTGTGTATGTTTTAATTTCCTAGGTCTTTGTGTGTGTACATATTTGTATAATGATATAAAAGCATCAACAGTTGACAGAAAGCATACCAGAAAGACAGTCAACTTCTTTAGTACTTCAAAATCTTTTAAAAAACTAGTTGTATTTCTTTTGTCAATTGCTTCTCTGCCTTTTTATCCAGGTGGGGATGATTAAATTTGCCTCTAAATACACAAACTTCCATTCTTTCAAGCCATAAGGAGGGATTCTTTAAGCATTGATTCTTTTTAGCTTTTTAGTTTGAATTAAGGTTTCTTCAAATAACCAAGAACTAGCTAGTTTGCTGCTGATGAACAGGTTGGTCTTTTGTTTTTCTTGCTCAATTTCTTGATATTTTGTTTTGCTTCTGTTTTACTTGGTAAAATCTAACATATTGGACAACCAACAAAGAAACATAGTCATGTAATGTTTATGCATATACTTTCTTATGCTTCAGCCATGTTACTAAGGGACAGTATGAGAAATTGCAAAGTTACAATTGTGCTTACATGTTGTGACATTTCTTTCTATGTATTCACTTATTTCATGTCTGGGAGAATTGAGGCCATATTTTAAATTTGTTTATGCATCATATTCTAAGATTTACGGTCCGTTATGAACTATGATAACAATATTGATAATCCACTCTGTAATTCCACTTCTTTAATTATTGATTTTTGCCACATTCCTGTGACCAAGATTATGTATGTGGTGTGTGAGTGAAAAAGAATATTCCTAGTAGTCATATGCATAGGCTAATTCAATTTATCCGTCAGTTGATTAGTTTTGTTGATTTCCATGTTCCTCTTTTGATTTAATTCCTTATTGGAATCCATCTTTTCTTTTCCTACCTTGGTTTTCCTTTCCATTTCAGTGGGTGGGATGGGGATTGAGAGAGAAGTAATCCATGGTTTCTTTAAAAAAAAAAAAAAGGTCTAGGTGTTCCTTTCTGTTCTTTTTCCAAATAAAAGTGCCAATGTTATACTTCCACCTTAAAAGGTCAAATTGGTTTATGCAATATTGTTTTCATTAGTATATGCTGCATGAAATTAAATTCATTAGATGCAGAAACTTAATTTTAATATGTCATAGATTCATAGTAGAAAGTTTATCCTTTCAAGAACATGGAACTTTTCATTGTTAGAGTTGCTGCATGCTGATGACTTAATCTTCTGTCTTCTGTTGCCTCTTTGGTCCAATGTAATTTGGAAAGTGTCTCTTGTATCTCCCCAATCTCGTTATATATAGCTCTTTGTTTTTCCTCCGATGATATTTGACTTAAGTTCCTAGGCTTGGCTATTCCGCCGTAGATCTGCAGCTTTCTCCTACGTAATCTCAAAGCCGCATCACATTTATTTTTTCTGTTCTTGAATTCAGGCCATGAACATGACTTCTCCAACAACTCAATTTGCCCCCACAAGAAGGATGGGTATATATGAACCGTTTCACCAGATGAGCGTGTGGGAAGACGCATTTAGAGGTGACATTATGCCTAGCGCTGATCCATGTCTGGTTTCACAGCCAAACGACAGGCCAGATGACAAGGTAAGGCAACATATATCCTTGTTCTGGTTTATAAAATTCTAGCTATTATAGTTTTCAGGCTGATATCTTCCTCTGGGCTGATATCTTCCTCTGGTTACTATAGTCGGGATATACGTCTGGTGAACAACATATGCCCTCTGGCTCTGGGGATAATCAAGCACCGAGGAGTACTTCAGAAAAGGTGGGGTTTTGGGTTTATATCCTATTGAAATTATTGAAAACTCCGAATGAACCATCCTTAAGCAAAGCACTTCTGCATTTTATGCAAATTTATCCAAATGATAAGTAGAAAGAGTTACCTCTGATGTGGAAAGTCTAAATATATCTTCATATTGAATGACAGGTACAACGACGTTTAGCACAAAATCGTGAAGCTGCGCGTAAAAGTCGTATGCGGAAAAAGGTAAAGAAAATTTGAGTCATAAAATTCGTTGCAGCTGTGGATGTTTAGGAAACTTATAGTCATAATTCATAAAGTTTTTCTTGTTTCCTTTCTTTGCCGTATTCACAGGCTTATGTTCAGCAGCTGGAAACAAGCCGTTTGAAGTTGGCCCAACTTGAGTTAGAGCTCGAGAGAGCTAGACAGCAGGTCAGGGACATCATCTCTTGCATATTTCATACTAATAAAAACATATATCTGTGCTCTCCTTTTGGTTTTCATCATGTCCTTTGACATTACGAAATTGCTTATTGTAGGGACTGTACATGCTAGGTTCAAATGCCAATATGGGGCTACTCGGAACAATTAATCCAGGTATGGGGATAGAGGAATTGTCACTCAATAATTTATGCATCATTAGCTTAAGTACTAATCTGTGTTAAGTGATCATCTACCAATTTGACGTTTAAACTATGGAAAATTCCACGTTTTCTTTCCTCACTGCCCATTGTTTATTTTAATCTCCGAGATTCTCATGTTAATATTAAGAGAACAGTTTATAGGTGCAGAGTTTAAAACTTTTTTCTTGAACATTTATGTGCCTTTACTCTGTAGGAAGCTGTTTAACAGATGTCGACATTTCCAAATGTGCATATTTTTTCATTGTTCCATCAAAATCTTAGCTGATAATTCCCATGCTATTGGAGTAGAATAATAGCCCACTTTGATGTATTGTTAGCTAGTTAATCACCTGTTTCGAAGGACCTTCGTTTGACTTTCTGCAGAAGTGCTTATACTCTCCTTGATTTTGTTACTAAGTTATGATGCCCTATGCAGGAATAGCTGCATTTGAGATGGAATACAGCCATTGGGTTGAAGAGCAACAAAAAAAGAATACAGAATTGCGGAGTATTTTGCAGTCTCCTGTAAGCGAAATGGAGCTTCAGTTGCTGGTAGAAAATGTCTTAAGCCACTATTTCAATCTCTTCCGGATGAAAGCTGACGCCGCCAAGGCTGATGTATTTTACTTAATGTCTGGGATGTGGAGAACATCCGTGGAGCGCTTTTTCCTCTGGATTGGAGGATTCAAGCCATCAGATCTCATAAATGTAGTCCCTGGTGCATTTTTACTGCTTTTCTTTTTTAAAGTATTTTACCATCACTTGCTGCTTATGAGTTTCTGCTAGCGTCTTTCATACATAAATTTCCTGAAACTAGGCGCCTTCCTATCTTATGTACGGATCATTTTTACATCTAAAACTAGTCAAATAGCCTAAAATATATTTTAACTTATTGATTTCCTCTACTGATTTTCTGTGGCAACTTTCATCCGGTGCTGCAGCTATGTTTATATATGTTGTCTGTCGCATGACAAACAATTCTCCTTTTAGGATGCTATATTCTTGGTGAATCACTATAGCATCCATTGAGGTATTTTACTGAAACTGAACTACTGAATCTCAAGTAAACTCAGGGTCACCTTGGTTTGCAACAGTAATGATCGTGAACAAAAAGGCATATCGTAAATCCTTGACTGAAGGAGCACGAATAGCCTTATTGTTTCGTTGCCATCACATATCTGTGCACTTTTCAAATTAATGGTACATGATCAAATAAGCACTATTTGTAAATGCTGATACTCTACAGTATAAATTTCTTGGTAGCCTCATCCAAACTTACGCGCTGCTAGACTAAGACCTACAAATCTAAAATTAGTACTGAAATCATGATTATGTTTTTCTTTCTTTCATTCTGCATGCAGAACATTTAATGAATTGCGAGATTTCTAATTATAAATCAACTTAACAGGTAGTGATGCCACAACTCGAGCCTTTGACCGATCAGCAAATCATTAAAGTCTGTAATCTGCGACACTGTTGCCAGCAAGCAGAAGATGCTCTCACACAGGGAATGGATAAACTTCAGCAGACTCTGGCCCAGAGCATCCTAAATATGACCACAGGAGCTGGAAGTTACAGTTCCCAAATGGTTTCTTCTATGGAAAATTTAGAAGCATTGGAAAGCTTTGTTAACCAGGTTTGTGTTACTTTCGTTATCATGCACCATACTGTCAATTTCGTTCTCTACATCAACGCTCTATGGTCATTCAATATCGTCAAAGATCAAGTTTTATACATGTTTATAATTCTGAAAGAAACTGATGTGTACGTTGAACAAGTATAACATAAAAGAAGTGTCTGATTCCAGTGACTCTATACGCGTCTTGATACATTCTTGAATGATTTAACATATGGTGTTGCTTGATTAATAAACAGGCGGACCACTTACGCCAACAAACACTACAGCAAATGTCCATTATTTTGACAACACGCCAAGCAGCTAGAGGCTTACTTGCTTTCGGGGAGTATCTTCAACGTCTTCGTGCTCTGAGTTCACTCTGGGCTGCACGTCCTCGTGAACCAACTTAATCTGTAACGACAAAGGAGATGAACTTAATTAGATTATCCTTGCTTGCTGCTGGTAATGCCCCAGCTGTAAATTGGAAGTGTTTGTCATAATTTTGCTTAGGCGGATTTAGTTTTTTATGATCTGATATACATATTTTTCGAGGTAAACTTGCCAAGTCTAGAAATTTGTGTATATATATTTGGATATTGTATATAGGCTATAGCCCTGTAATAATTTGCTTGGATGCTTTTTGAAGAAACGATAAGATTTACTATCTCACCCCTTTTTTCGTAGACTCATCTATGAATATTTAAGAAGAAATGAATGCTGATCCTTAATATATTTAATATGTTTCTTAATATGTTTGGGTTCTTAGAGAAGAATTTCGTGTACCCTCAAAACTTCATATCCTTAACTTATGCACACTAACTGTACATACTCTTAGTGTAATTTTATAGTTTTATGTTGCTTGCCATCTTTTGTAGGTTAGGGGCATGCTTGCTATCAGAAATTGCATGTTATTGGTTTTTATGTAATTTCCCTAATAGATTGGAAAGTAAAAACAAAGAGAAAGAAAAAACAGAGGAGAGAGGGGGAAAAAAGGAGTCGTATGATATATATTTATTGAGTGTGTGAACAAAGTCTCCCATTGGTAGCTAAAAAGATTTGGAGTCTAGATATAAGGTTTAGGGATCTCTTAACAGAGTGAGGCCTTTTGGGAAAACCGTACGGGTCACATCATGTTAAGAGTGTATTTGGGCTAGTGCTAGTTGCGGGCTTCGATTACCATAATACTCTTACAATGTGGGTGGCACACAGCGAATCTCGAAAATTAACCCACGTGAATCATGGTACTGGGCCACGTGGAACTTAGTTCGAGAGGAGGGATTGTTGGGTGTGCGAACAAAGTCCCTAACAATATTTAATCATTGGTACTATTAGGGCATCACCATTCACCTACTACGTTCTGATGGCAACCAAAATGATTAATAGCCTGTTTGGCCAAGCTTCTTTTTGGCCAAAAGTGCTTTTTTGTTTTTTGCCAAAAGCACTTTTGGCCAAAAATTGAGGTGTTTGGCCAAGCTTTTGGGAGGAAAAAAAGTGCTTTTGAGGAGAAGCAGAAGCAGTTTTGGAGAAACAGAAAAAAGTATCTTCTCTTCAAAAACACTATTTTGAGAAGCACTTTTGAAAAAAATACACTTAGAAACAGTTTTTTAAAGCTTGACCAAACACGAATTGCTGCTCAGAAGTGCTTTTCAAACTAATTAGCCAAACACAAACTGCTTCTCACCAAAAGTACTTTTGAGAAAAGCACTTTTGAAAAAAAGCACTTCTCAAAATAAGCTGATTTTTGCAGCTTGGCCAAACAGGCTATAATTACCATCAATTAATGCTGGTTAATTAGTGTCATAATTCATTTTAAAATTTTGATATAAGTTTCAAAGGATATTTCCAATAATTTCAACAATAGCCAATCAAAAAATACTAATTTTCCAAAAGTCGGTTTTCGAATTCAAAGTGTTAGAAACTTTTTAATAACTGTTAATGGAGTTTCTAATGGTTTCCAATCAAAATCAACTTTGAATCTTCACTAAACTCACCTAGAATTGCGATATAAACCAAATGAGATTCCAAAAGAATCCTGCCGTTAAAAAATAACCCTATGTTCTAAAAGAAGTGATAAAAAAACAAAAAATAAGGTAGGGTCCCAATGTTATGAAGTTACTTAAACCAGTGAAAGAGAAAGGGGTTCTAATTTATGTGATAACTGATAATAACAGGCAAATCCCAGTGAATTGAGCTGCTATATAGACCTCTGAGACTGTCATTTTCTTAGAAGCATTTAAACAGAGAAGTGAAGTTACGGATTCAATTGAACCGAATATTTTTGCCTCGACATTTTGTCACGATCCAAATTCACCAAGTCGTGATAGTGCCTAACGTGGAACTAGGCAAGCCAACTCATTTATCAAACAACCCGATATATCAAAATAAAGATTTCTTTAAGCTATTAATTAATAAAACTTCATAATGTAAGTCTGAATAACAAAGTGCGGAAAGAAAAGTCCGACATCGGGGTGTCACAAGTCATGAGCATCTACTAAAAATTGTCCGAAATGCTAAGACTAATACAGTCTGGAAATCAGCTAATAATATCTATAGGAGGATAGGAGGGAGAAGAGCAAGGCTGCGATCGCCATGCAGCTACCTTGCCAACTCCAAAACATCTGCGACGGATGAAAAATCAACGCTCGCTAGCACGTTCAGCAACCCCTGGATCTGCACACAAGGTGCATGGAGTAATGTGAGTACGCCAACTCAGTAAATAATAAAGGTAAATAAAGACTGAGCAATATGTTCAGCAACCCCTGGATCTGCACACAAGGTGCACGGAGTAATTGGAGTACGCCAACTCAGTAAGTAATAAAGGTAAATAAAGACTGAGCAGTACGAAACACATAAAATCCACATAATTAAATCTCAGTAAATACCACATGTTTTCAAATCAGTATATGAGTCAAATCATCTCGTTTAAAATCCAGATCATTTGAAGATGCTTTTCGACAGTTTCAGTAGAGGCTCAATTCAATTTAGAGTAAAAGTGATGAAAATCATTAACAGCCCCTCGGGCAAACATAGCTCGTATACAGCCCTCGGGCAACATGAATCATAAACCGCCCCTCGGGTATAACATCATTCAGAATCAGCCCCTCAGGCAAACCTCACAGTCACTCGTAAATAGCCTCCGGTCACAACATGAATCAAGAACAGCCCCTCGGGCAAAACATCATGACACTCACTCAGGGTGCCTGCGCTCACTGGGGTGTGCAGACTCCGGAGGGGCTCCTACTACCCAAGCGCTATAACAAGCCACCTCGTGGCATAATCAATCAGGCCCTGGTCCTCTCATAATCATATATCAGAATTCGCACGGACAACTCACGTGCTGCATGGACAAGTCACGTGCCATAGTCTCAATATCTCACAGTCAGGCACTCGGCCTCACTCAGATGAGTCAATAACAACATGATGCGGCATGCAGCCCGATCCCATAAATATTCTCACAAAAATAGGCCCTCGGCCTCACTCAGTCATAAACCTCTCAAGCCACTTGGGCTGTTAGTAAAAACAGGGTGCTCGGCCCAAAATATCATTTTATATGCATCAAAACGGGTAATAAAGACTGAGTTATGAAATCAGTAACATAGCATAGCTGAGTATAGATTTTTAAGTCAAAACAGTGAGAAAATAATAAGAAAAGGCCCCTAAGGGTCCAAACAGCTTTGGCACGAGGCCCAAATATGGCATTCAGCCCAAATTATAGAAGTTCTTTCTAATACACATAAGTATTAAATAGTTTTCAGTCAAATACGCAACTTTATAGTTGCTACGGGACGGACCGAGTCACAATCCCCAACGGTGCACGCCCACACGCTCATCACCTAGCATATGTGTCACCTCACCATAGTGAAACGATGTAAAATCCGAGGTTTCATACCCTCAGGACGAGATTTAAAATCATTACTTACCTCAAACCAGACAAATCCCTAATCCGCGATGCCCTTGCCTCTCGAACCGGCCTCCAAATGCCTCGAATCTAGCCACAAACAATTCGATTTACAATTAACACGAGCTAAAGGAATCAATCCCATAAGAAAATGCTAAGCTTTGGGCGAAAAGTCAAAAAGTCAACTCAAAAGCCGGGCCTGGGCCCACGTCTCGAAATCCGACAAAAGTCGCAAAATCCGACAACCTATTCAATTATAAGACTAAACATACTAGTTTCACTCAAATTCGACCTCAAATAGGCTTTCAATTCCCAAAAATCTGTTTTATGAAACTCCACCAATTTTTCCTAAATTCCATCCCAAATCATGAATCGAATGATGAATTCAATGATATATTCATGAATATTAGCTAAAACTGAGTTAGAATTACTTACCCAGATGATTTCCTTGAAAAACTCCCAAAAATTCGCCTCAAACCGAGCTCCCAAGGTCCAAGATGTGAAATAAAACCCTAAACCTCGTTTATATAGTGTTTTCTGAACTTCCTCACCGCGGTCCGCGAATTTCCAAGAGCGGCCGCGCCTCCCAGGCCCTGCGGTCGCGAAAAAAATTGTGCGGCCGCACTTTTAGGTGACTGCACTGCCAGGCTTTAGTATTTTGGCCATAACATTTTCTACAGATGTCCAAATAATGACTTCTTTATCTTTCTGGAAACTAGACACGAAGATCATCTCAAAATTCCTTGTAGATCAAAAGATATAGGCTTCCGAAGTCGGACCAGAGAATCTGCGAAACTTCCCTGGAGCGAGGCTGCGACCAAAATTATGCGGTCCGCGTCCCCCCTTCCGCGGTCCGCGAAATTTTGCCGAGGTCCGCATTTTCAAGGCACCAGAACAATATCAGAGTTCCAGGAATGCCCGGACTTACTCAAAACTCACCCGAAACACGCCTGAGGCTTCCGGAACCTCAACCAAAGGCACCAACAAGTTATATATCAATATACGAACTTGGACGAACCCTCGGAAATCTCAAAACAACATCAAAATACCAAATTAACCTTGGATTCAAGCCTAAGAACTTCTAAACTTCCAAGTTCCGCAAACGATGCCGAAACCTACCAAACCTTGTCCGAATTACCTCAAATTTTGCACACACCTCACAAATGATACTACGAACCTACTCCGACTCTCTGAACTCCATTCTGACTCCGATATCAAATTTTCCACTGCTGCCCGGGAATCACCAAATTTTCAATTTCGCCAATTCTAGCTTAATTCTACCACAGACCTCCAAACTACATTCCAAACGCGCTCCTAAGTCCAAAATCACCTAACAGAGCTAACTGAACCATCGAAATTCACATCCGAAATCGAATACTAAAAAGTCAAAACTTGGTCAAACCTTTCAAATATAAAGCTTCTAACCGAGAATCATACTTCCAATCAAATTCCAGATAACCTGAAAACCAAAACCGACAATTCACATAAGTCATAATACATAATACGAGGCTAGTCATGCCCGAGAACTGGCGAGCGAAATGCAAATGCTCAAAACAACCGATTCGGGTTGTTACACATCTATTGAATTTGTTAAATTTTTTTATTAAATAAGTACATATAATAAATTTTGAAACCACCAAATCAAATAAATTATTGTGGAATCTAAACTCGAACAATTTGAAGTCAATTTTTCTCACTTTTTGAGATGTAAAGTTGTTAATAATTTTTTTACAATCGATTTCTTCCAATAGTTTTTTAACGAGAAAGGAGT